TGATAGGGGGAGGGTTTCAAGAAGTTATACATAGTTAAAATTTTCAAAATACCCTTTTTGATTTTGACAAAAGGGGGAGAAGATGTATACTTCAAAGTGGTGCATATGCAACTTGACTTGAGTGCATTCTTGTGAAACTATTTGCATCAAACTTATACTTTTAATAAACACAAGAAAAAGTTCAAAGTGAGTATTTTAAATATGCTTATTCTTAGGGGGAGCTTGCTTGCTTCATTATTTTACTCCCGCCTAACTCACTTTGAAGTATATTGTTTGTCAACATCAAAAAGGGGGAGATTGTTAGCCTTGGTTTGCTAAGTCTCATGTTTTGATGTTAACAAACAATATAAGAGCTTAACGTTTGTTTATGTGTTTCAGGAAAACAAGAATCCATTAAGATTCGGTACTCAAGAATGAAGTCAAAACACTAAAACTAGCGTAGAATATAGGTAGAAACCAATGTAAGGATATGACTTTATATACCTATATTCACAAGCTCAAAAGCACTCACAAAATATGTTTAAAACCATCACATAAACACTTTCAAAATATCTAAAAGGTTTTAAACTCAAACACGAAGGATTAAGAGAATTTTGGAAAAATCAAAACAGGGTCACGGTACCTCTAGCGGTACGCCACACGGTAGGGTATACCGCCTACACGGTACCCCCATACCGTGTAACGGTACCTAGGTACCGACGGTAGGCGTAGACGGTTGGCCGAACCCGTCCTAACCAGGTACCTCCAGAGGCGAACCGAACTTTTGGAAGACACGGTACCCCCAAACGGTAGGCTATACCGTGTCACGGTACCTAGGTACCGGATGACACAGACCCCCTACCGTGAAGGGTACCGGATCCGTTACAGCACTGTAGCAAAATTGCCAATTTGAATTAAATCAATCCTAATCACCTCCCAACGGCTAATTAACATCTTCCACTATAAATACAAGCCTAATCCTTCATATTTCTTCAAGAAACAAAGCTCTAAACATCGTCTCTTTTTATTCTAAGTGTGTTCATCCTTTTATTAATTATTTTCAATATTTTGGCTATTTCAAGAGCCTTAAATTCCTGAATTTTATACACACACTTTGAGCTTGTGTTTCTAGTTATATACTCTCATATTCATAAGTTTATATTGTATTTTTGAGAGAGTATAATTTCCTTCTACACCGGCTAAGTTTTGTTCTTCATTTTTATATTCTAGCCGTTGTGTAGAATCCTCTTTTGTGTTCTTCAAACACACCTTCTTACGGTCAAGAATAGCCGTTAAATTCTCATATTGTATCGGTCGAGGATAGCCGTATAAATCCTTGGGTAAAGGTTCAAGGATAGCCTTTGAAATCCTTGGGGGAACGGTAGAAGATAGCCGTTAAATCTTCGTTGTAAACGGTTCGAGATAGCCGTGGTGAGATCTCGGAGTGAATCCTATTGGCAAGGGTTGTTTGCCAAACTAGTGCGGTGCTTTGACGGAGTTCAAGAGACCGAGACTTAGTGGATTCGAAAATCCTTGAGGAGGAGCCTTGAGGTACTGGAGTAGGGAGTTCCCGAACCAGTATAAAATTGGTGTGCATTTGATTTACGCTTTTATTTCTACGTTTTATATATTGCTTCCGCATTTGCCAACACCATTTTTACTTAACTCCGAAAAGTTTTTAAACGCCTTATTCACCCCCCCTCTAAGGCGTGGGCACAACGACTAAACCGACTAACATTTTAAACGCCCTCAGATTATATTTTGAAAAAGAATATTGGTCTTGGTGAAAATACCTAGAGTATAAGAGAAATAACTAATAAAACAGGCTACACAAACAGACCAATCAAACAAGCTACTGAGAAGATGTTATATTATCACTGATCACATAGTGTTATACCATATTCTCTTTCACATGCACACATGCAGAAAAATAAATTAAAATATAGTAAATAGTGCACCAAAGTTGTTTATACATTTTGGAGAAAAATCTCTCCTAGTCTCTGTGCCCACATCTGTATAATAGCCTTTCTCTAAATCTTTGAAGTAGATCAAATAAGTGAATAACAATGTTCTCTAACACTTTTCTTCAAATTATTTTGACAAAATCTCAAAACTTAGACTTCTATCCTAAACTCTATTCGAATTACTTCTTAGATATACACCTTCACCAAGATATCTCCAAGGAAGAGTTTGCAATGCTATTTCCAGAATCAACTTCAAAAATCTAGACCATAGATTGTAGATATCCAAACAAACGTCACAATGGCGACAACTTGAGGCAATAGCAGTCACAGATTGCTCCTGCAATGTTCTCCCAATTTCAGTACTTCGTGCATATCTTCCTCCCTCTTTCTTTTCTTCCCTCGCAGTAGGTGGCACATTTTCTTTTTTCTTGCGACTCTCT